TTGCAAGATAATGCGCCTTTTCTGAGCAGGAAAAATGAACAGTGATCCGTACTTCCACATTCCGTCAAATCTCGCACACAAGGCAGCTATGAATTTTTTGAAATTTTACAGTCTGAAAAAAAAGCGGGAGTTCTGTTGAAAAGTCACATTGTCTAAGCTTTTGGTCTCTTTCTGATGTCGCGAAATTCTTGATTATTGTCGACCGCAGAGCGTTTTTCTTGGTGGTCTAATAGGGTTTCTTTTTTTCCCTTTATCTTCAGATTCATGCAAGTGGTTGGCCGTTAGAGGTCTGTTGGGCATGCAAAATTGGCAACAGTGACGTGATAGCATGGAATAAGATGTCCTTCAAAAACTGGTGACCATTGGAGTACGCTTTGGAATAACCTTTTCCCGATAAATCTTAGAAAGGAAGAAAGGAATCATATAGGCAAGTTTAATCAGTTTTTTCTTATGCCTTCCACGCAGGTCTCCCATTTACCATTGTTTAATCACTTTCTCCAAAGCTCTTTCAGAGACAAACTTTTTGGCATTGGACGTTTCCTAATATGAACTTAAGTAGGAGTTTCGAAAGGCCGATTCACCTATGCAGCTCCCCTCGCAAGATATTAAGTGGGTTGGATGCCCATCAAGGCGTGGCACATGTGAGAAAAAAGTTCTTCACACCCAATGTTTTCCTTAGCTTTTTTTGATACAGCGTAAATTTGACACCAGGACATTTCGTGGATATCGAGCCGTTGCTTACAAAAATGGAGTGACATTATGTCGAAAATGGTTTTTAAAATGGCTACTTACACTGAATAGACCAAAAGGGAATTATTTCTTGATTAGAGCGGCTTCGTAATTTCATAAGATTACCCATTACATTTTTCCAAAACTCATTTAGTGGCTCCTACGGCTCCCTCGAAAATCATTGGAGAAAGGAGATAAGAGTGGGTTATGAGGGTTTCTCGAGATTCTAGATGAACGATGAACTATTAGAATAAGTGATTTGTCAGGAGTGACCTTCGCGGGTTACTTGGAGAACAATCTGGCTTTGCTCGCTACCGCGCGCATCAGAGTAGGTTTCTCTGGAAGCGAGCATAGCCCGGCTCCTGAATTGCGCAGCATGCATGCTTTCATGAATTTTGACTGATGTTGTGAACCGAAGCCTACTGTAGTATAATACTAGTTATGAAGTAACCGTTGCCCGTAGCTAGTCAGTATCCGTAAACATCCATCACTCTTGGAATCTGACATGGTCTAACGACCGAATTAGTTTCGGGTGACCAATGCAACTACTGGACTGCTCACTACTCTAAAGTGAGCAACTACTATCCTTCGCATGTTAGTACCAGTTGGCGCCGCACGCATTGCGCGCACAACACAGATCTGCGGCGAATTTTGATGGTGCGACGAAAATTTTCAAATTTGGCTTGATACACCACGAATATCTGAATTCTCAGCTAAATTCTATCCGCTCCATCATCGACGGCTTTCAACCTCTTTTTCTTCGTCAACCATTATCCTCTTTTTCTCGGTCTCCGGACTGCTTCCGGACAATAAATCTCGTGGCAAACTCCGCCTACTTCGGTGCGTGCCCCGCCCACCAATAGCATTTGGCCCCCTTCCTTTCGCCGACCTCTACCCCTTTTTTCACCGGTCTCTGGGACCTCTTGGAACCAAATTACGACACTTTTGGCAAACTCCGCCCACTTAGGTGCGTGCTCCGCCCACTAATAG